AACGGAATTTTTACCAGGGGCGAACTTGACGGAACAAAATACATTCTTTCACGTGGGTTTTACGGGAGTGTACAATCGCGCGAACGATCTTTGTGTTTTCGCGAGTGTGCCGGAGGACAATCTGCGCGTAGGAGCAGGCCAAGGAAAGGCATCGGGCTCCGGCGGAGCAACTTTAAGGTAAATATTTTTTATTTAGTGTAAAATTAATCTTTTTTTCAGTTTATTTTTGAGTCGTTTTACTTTATCATTCTATAATTTCGAAATAACAATTTATTTTTTAGAGTTTATTAGAGAGAATTAACATCAGGTTTGAACCGCGATTCAAAGATCCGTGACACATCTATCATCGATATTGCGGTTCTCGACTACTCGAGCTATCGAACGACGTGCGAGCGCGACTGTGCGCCACTCACGGTAGTCGCGAGTACTCGAGTAGTCGCGGTTGTAGTCAAAGAGTAAAGGGACATTACTCGTTGGTTGTAGTAATATCACTCGAGGGAGGTGGCGGTTTATTTGTAATAATGATAATTACACGAGGATTGAACTTGCTAAAGATCGTTCACAGAAGCCGAAATACGGCCGCGGCGACGAATCTGCGGCCCGTTAGACTGACTCACGGGTAAATAAAGTTATTATGTAACTACACGTTATAGGCTATAGGTTATGTTCCAATGTTTCGCCGCAGGAGTAGCTTCGTTGCGCAGTGTCTTTACGCGAAAGGAATATCGTAATTCACGCTATTACTTCCTTATCAGGCCCGGAGGAAACTATCGCGATCTCCCACCAGAAAACAAGCAGTGGACATTGGCAGCCGAGGTTTTCGGGGGCTTCATGTGGTGGTGGATATTATGGCACTTCTGGCATGACTGGGGCCACATTGTCGTGAGTATCGTGTCATTTTTTTTAAATATTTGCCCCTCGTACATTTCTAACATCAACTCGGCCACCCCCTGATGCGGACAATTTCCTCTTGCGTTCAGGGAGAATTCGATTATCCAGACCCATCCAAGTGGACGGACGAGGAGTTAGGTATACCTCCGGATGATTATCCCGTGCCTGCGACTCGTGTACTATAGATAATTTTACAGCTGTGTTGCACGAAGGTAAAAAAATATATTTATCGTTATACCGAGATAAGAATCTGCGAAGTTTCAACATTCACGCATAGAATAAAAAGAGTGTTATGTTTACAAAACTGGATATAATTATTTTGCTTCTCATCTACTTTGCAGCCTTACGTTGTACGCAAAAATCGTTTATCGATTTGAATACGCGAATTTGCTGACGATAATAATTCCACGTGTAAGAAAACTGCGTTATGTCCGAAAAAGAAATCTGCGCGCAGAGCCAATGTGGAAAGAAAACGGTATATAGATTCACGATTTTCAGAAAAATTACAAGACTTGCAAGTTGGGCTACATACATCTTGCCTTGTGACCCACATTGGCGTGTTCTCATATGTTGTTTAGTTTTAGATAGGGGTCTTACTTGGAAGTTTATTCTCACACGTTGTATATTTTCCTAATGTTTCAAATACACGGGTCTTAGACATTACTTCCTCTTCAGGTAGAAAAGAAGTGGAATAAGAAAAGGGTATATGTACTTAGATATGTGCATTGCCAAATTTTTATATCGCAAACAACGAAATCTCATTGCATATATATTATTTTAATATTGGTGTTCTGTTACAAAAGTTTCATGTAAGGCATCTTTAACGAAAGTATAATGAAAATCAAGAGCTTGTACATCCATGCGACACGTATATTAATTTCCCTTCGCGACATTGATAGAGACCGTTTTAATCTCGAGATATTCCTTCAGGCCTTCTTCTCCCCTGAAATGAAAAGACACAAGTTTAACAATGCATCACTTAAATCAACCCGGCTTAATTAATTATCGCTTACAATTCACGTCCTATGCCAGATTGCTTGAAGCCGCCAAATGGCGTTTGGGGTGTGATAGCGTCGTAACAGTTTACCCTGGAAACAAATTATCATTGAGCGTACAGAACTGTGCACGCAGTAGAGCATTATCACGCATTTCTCGCGTACTCACCAAACGCTACCCGCCTCTACTGCCTGGGCGAATTCCAAAGCCTTGTTAATGTCTTTAGTAATTATGCCCGAGGCAAGACCGTAGTTAGTGCGATTGGCGCGCTCGATTACTTCATCCATGGTGTTGAATTTCAAGATTGTTTGGACCGGACCAAAAATTTCCTCCTTGGCGATTCTCATGTCGTCGGTTACGTTCGAAAAGACCGTGGGTTCCACAAAGTAACCGGCGTCGCCCTTGCGATTCCCACCGGTTTCCACAACAGCGCCCTGCTGTTTGCCGGAATTGATCAGGCCCATGATCTTGTCTAACATATCCTGATCGATCTGCGGGCCCTGATTCGTCTTAGAGTCAAACGGATCCCCCACTTTTCTGTCAAGCGCCAGCTGCTTAGCTTGCTTCACGAATTCGTCATACACCTTGGCATGTACAAATGTACGCGATCCCGCGCAACAGTTTTGCCCATGATTCGCAAATATCGCGTTGTGCGCGATCCCTGCGGCTTCTTTCACTGTAAGCATACACAGCGTGATATAAATGTGATTATGTAACAAAGTGTACAAAGATGCCTCATTATTCTGACAACATACCGTTTGCATCATCGAAAACAACGAGCGGGCTCTTGCCACCCAATTCAAGGCTGACACGCTTGAGATTACTTTTACCAGAGGCTACCATTATGGAATGCCCGACCTAGAGAAAGAACACAATTTATATCAGCACATAGATTTTTATCAATACAGTCATATTGTATAAAATGTGGATACCTCGGTAGATCCGGTAAAAGCGACTTTATTAATTTCTGGATGTTCAGCAATAGCCGCGCCAGCAGTTGGGCCGTAACCTGGAATGACATTTACGACGCCCGCTGGAAAACCTGCCTCCTTAGCTAGAGCGGCCGCGTAAAGCGCGCTCAGGGGTGTTTGTTCCGCTGGTTTTAAGATCACGGTACATCCAGTAGCCAATGCAGGGCCCCATTTCCAAACCAACATCAGGAAGGGATAATTCCAAGGGATGATTTGTCCTACAACGCCGACTGGCTCTTTTCGTGTCAATGTAACATTAGCGTCGCCTAGTCAGATAATAAATAGAATTATTTACTGTCACTCAATTATACAATTCATATTATGTCACAAGTGGGCAAAGCAATGATTGTGACGCGCGAAATTTAATAAAATATATTAATTTACTGTAATGCTCTCCACACGTGTGCCCTCTTTTTGTCCGGTATTGTACATAAGGTAATTTATAAATATGAAAATACCTGTTGGAATAGTAGTTCCAAGTATTTTATCACACCAGCCTGCGTAGTAACGAAGAGTAGCAACAGACGCTTGAATGTCCTCCACAGCACTCGCATACGTTTTTCCATTGTCAAGAGTTTCGAGAGTGGCAATGTAATCTAAATCGCGAGTAATGAGATCTGCAAACTGTTTTATTTGTTCACATTTAGTGTGCTGTCGGCGTTTTTGCATCAAGTATAAAAAGTTTAGTATCACAAAATTTTACCTTGTGCATAAGCTGTCCACGGGCGTACGGATTCATTGTGCGCCATTTCGAATTTCTGTGAAAGGCCCGTTTGGCGGCTTCCACTGCTTTATCGACATCAGCCTGAAGGGAAATTCATTCTTTTAAATTGTAGTCGATCAATTTTTAATATTACTAAAGTTTTACATCTGTTGGGTGAAAGAAAATTTAATGGTGACGCGCAACTGATGCGTAAAGGTTTTCTACTAGTTTACTGTCGTTAGTGCCATATAATTCTCTACAATCTCTTATACATTTAAAATCTTCATATGCTTAAAACAATAATTTACACCTTGAAAAACCTACAATATTAAATTGCAACAATTTTCATATAAAATTATAAAATGTGTCTGGAATGGAAAAAGGAAAGAAGGATATACTGTTTGTAAATCCGTTGATGTATCCTATATGTAGACATGTGTAAATATTATCTCTCTTGTAGATATAAAAGTACGAATAGATAACAAAATAATACGATAAGATAACCTTTGGATATCACCTCACAGCACGAATATACAAAAGCAAGTCATCCGAGTCAACACAAAGTTGAAAATTATTTTAAACTCTACATATTTCGAGCTATGCCAATTAAGTCACGTTAGGATTTATTAGGATTTATTGGAATGCCAATGAAATAATTGTCTGTCAATTTTATCTATTTTCTATTGTACAATTCTTATATGTTCTGCGTTGTCACAATAATTTTACCTTGTCTCCTTCGGCGATTTCAGCAATGACTTTACCATCGGCAGGATTTATTGTGGGAAATTTACGACCACTCACAGCATCCACAAATTCATTGTCGATGAACAGCTACAAAGAATATTTGATATTATTAATGACGCGATAAAAATAACTTTTCGATTTAAAAAAAATCTTGTTAAGCACTTAAAATACTGACAAAGTCATGAATTTCAAAACGGTTTGGAGAAAGAGATAGGATTTATCCCCGTCCTCAACATTCTTTATAATCGCTATTCAAATTCAATTAAAAATTTGCAAAATTATTCAGATTCATATTTTAATTATTTTAAATAGAAGTTGATATTCTTTAAATAACGCTTGGAAAGTTTCTTTATGCACAAAACACAAGCATTATTCTATTAGCGAATCTTTATCGTTGAAAGGTTTGCAATGTGAATCTGGTTTGAATCTCATTTAATTGGAAAACAACGAGCGCATTCTATGAAACAATGCGAGATATCGGCTTACTTGAGTGTATTTAATTTGGGCTTGCTTTGCCATTTTCTTCTCGGCGATGTTCACACTCTGCGATGACTACACTCGGCAACGGTCGGCGAGTAAATGGTCGAGGAACGTTTAGAGAGACAACGTCGCCACCATCGTTTCTTAAGAGATTATTTCCGACATGTGATAAGATTGTTCATAAACATCCACTTCGCTCTGCCTCCCCGTCCTTTTCGAATTTTTACGATTAACTGCAATGAATTCGAAAGAAAGGATTACGTCGAGTATGTTTTATAATAATATATGTAACACACACAATTTTAATTGTCAATATAACAAAAATATTGTTAACACACGCAAATATAAGTCGTTTTTTAAAACGACTTAGTACGTCATGACTATTTTCATTATCTTCTCGTGGTATTTTTACACGCTTTACTTGCAATTAGTTGGAGTGAAAATTTTTCCAGTCTCGAAAACACGCTATTTTTTTTCAAAATTCTTTTTACGATGCGTATGTAGTATTTTACATTGTGCGAGTCGATCTATTGAAAATAATGCGATGCACAGTTATTTCTCGGTGATAGAATCCGTATTCGGTTTCCTCTCGGAACTCTGCCAAGTACAGTGGTCCTTGATCTATTTTGGAAATGCTGTGTGGTTAGTCATAATCACCTAGTGATTAATTCTTTTTCAAATTATCTGCTGTTTGGTTGCCAATTAAATGGAATTAAATCACATATCTCTAGATTTGTGCTTTTGAGTTTAATTATACGTTCGAATTTATCAGGGAATTTCCTATCGAATAATAATACAAGTAGACTGTCTGAGTCGGTAATCTGAGTATTGGCAGAGATTTTTACACAGGGCATCTTCGCGGGTGCCCCAACTTTGATAGGATAACACCGGGTCATCAATATTTTCGTATGCAGGTTGCACAAAAAAAAGTGTCTGCATAAAATAATCTTTTAATAGACATTTAATCGTACGCATTTCGTGTTCTTTCATGTTAAAAGAGCATCTTACGTAAATACGTTAACGCATCTTTTTATACATTATAAAGATATTAATTTTCGTATAACGTATACACGGACAGAATTTTCTCTTAAAGTTTATCCTGAAAATCATGTAGTCGAGAGATAACGTGGCATTTCCAAGAATTTTATGAGAGCTTTTGGAAATTTTACCATATATTTTACTAGTAATTCTACTTAGTAGACATTTTACCAGTAAAATGAACGGTAAAATTTTCAAAAACTCATAGAGTTGTTTAAAATGCCATGTTGTCCTACGATTACATGATTTTCAGGGTCAATTTTGGGAGAAAATTCCCTCCGCGTAGTAAAAAGATACGTAATGCTTTGAACTTAGTCACTTGCATATATTTTACATAAAAATGAATCAATTTTCTTTGACGGGAAGGAAACAGACTAGGTTAATTTAAAACTATCACTCCTTTAGAAGAATGAGACGACTCGTCCAGCTGTGCGTATTAAATCGATAAATCCGGTTTGCCAGACGTGCTTACGGCTGACTGCTTAAATTCGCAGACATTCACATATTCTACTGCACGTAAATGTACAATTCAACTGTATCCTATGTTTTCGGTATATACCTTTTTAAAATATAAGTAAAATACGCCACGCTACGTTGCCTCGCTTCTCCGAATATCACGAAATGTTAGATAACGAACATGATTGTTCTGCTGATAGCTCGCAGCGCATTTCGCAACACGAAACTGAGGTGAGTACTTTCTGTGTCGCCAATTTACATAAATTACGTATATCAACACATGCGATAACAAAGGTGTCTCATTGATATGTGTGTAAAAAGACTATTTTTAACAAAAAAAAAAATTATAGAAAGCAAACGACGTGTATGTTTGCGAAGCAAACTTGCGTTTATTCGTAACATTATTACACACAGATACGTACATAACTTTACTTTTGTTTTCATCTCATGATAAATTCCGTATTAGAAGGCACAGCCGTGTCTCACGATGCATGAATGCGGCGGCGGGGACAATGTCGAGAGACCTCCGCTCTATCTACCTCAGCCCGAGGATGAATATCCGAGCAAGCCCGAGCACACAATGGGACCTCTTGGTCCATGGGCCACAGGCCGAGTAACCTGTTCTCGCGAGGGTGGAGTAACGGGTTTGAGGCCAGTCGCAGATCAATATTCCATTACTCGCTACGGACCAAGTGAATGGCGCGCGCACAATTTAAGTATCTTTCGGCAATCGGACGAGAGAATCCGCGATTCCCGGTACGTGATTCAACGTAATCTGCGATCATTTGAAGTTGCGCCTAGCATTTGATTCAAAGATCCATTAGTGAAGGGTCATCTGCAATTTTTCCTAAAAATTCTTGGCACTTATTATAATATTAGAGCAAAGTCTCCTATTATAAGATAGGCTCCTAATACGAGACAGCGGGGATTCTGTTAAATTAATGGGCATCGTCTGCTGATTCCACCGTGAATTTATTGCCCTTGGGGTGAAATCTGTTTAGTGGAAAATTCATTGTTAGAGCGCGTAACCGTTGCGAAAAAAGATTTGTGATTGAATTTGGGCGTTGAAAACCTGCTGTCTCAAATTAGAAACCCATCTTACGATAGAGGATTTTCCTCTACATAAAGACGAACTGATTAGAGTCACGGCCGTTGCTGCGAAAGAATGTGTGAAGCAAGCGTACGCGGCAGCCGACAAGGTGCAGTCGGAGACGACGGAACAATTAAAAACGCGAGCTAACGTGGTGTATCGTTGGAAGGCGGAATTGGAACATGCGATCGCCGGTATTGCGGAAGAGATGGAATTGTTGGAGGCCGAGCGTCGCCGCGTACAGCGATCACTGTCGATATTGACCATTCCTGTGTCGATCGCGAGCGACTTTTTGCAATTACGCTGCTCTCGCTTGGACTCCGATCTCGTTCGCGATAACGTCGAGGAGCAACTTACAAAGGTTGAATCTCGGATAAGTTACATCGTAAATAACGCCGCCACCTCGCGCCTTAGTTCGCGTTGCGTTTCAGGAAATAGCCCTTTGTTCCGAGATACGAGATCTGCTGAGCAGGACCCGCGAGCAGATCGAGATGCAGATGGTCGAACTGAAATCCGCGAAAGCGCGAGCGGAGAACGATTGGTCTGACAAGGTTCACGCTTACAATCTGGACTCCGTATGCGTGAATTTGTTTAACGATTCTCCGCTTCTATTATGGAAGGCTGGAGCTACGAGATTTCCAGCCGAGTGAGTTTGCTGCCTCCAGCGTTGAGCTGCTGCTGTAATCAGTTTGCGTTATCGATATTTTTCTTCTTTTTTTCAGCCAATCAACTCCTACAAGCTACGAACACTTTACGCAAGAAGTGTTAACCGCTGGCGAGACTGCTAAACAGAGATCAATAAACCTAAGGTCCACATTGAACGACATATACGTTAAATCGATTAAGGATCTGCGCGACCAAGCGACTCGCGTTGACGTTGCGCTTGCGGAAAACGTGAAACTCACACAAGGTTGCCTTCAGCAATTAGAAAAGGAATTACTTCGCGTAAGATCTGGGAGAGCAACTACACAGATAGCAATGATGCATGTCTAAAAGACGTCGTACAGATATCTTTAAGAGACTATTTAGACGTACATCTAAAAGACACCTTACATAATACCGTAAGACATGCATGCTATCTGGGTAAGGATATGCAAAAAAGATTACATGTAACATCACAGACTTCTATACCTAGACTGCTAACTCCTTAGGTGCCCACACAGCAAAATATCCCAGGTAGCCAGCCGACGTAACTTGTCGTCATTTGGACGTCAAAGTGACATTTCTGACGACATTTCGACGTCAAAATGACAACAAGTGACGTCAGCTGGCTACCTGGTATATCCGACACTTAAGGGGATGCTGGAGTGATTCTGCACTTTTGCACCTTTCTAACCTAAAAACTGTCAGTTCGCGGAAACATTTGTATAATATACAAATTAAATGGCTTATGTGTACAGATCGAAAGCAGCTTGCTATTCCGGCCAAATGAAAGAACAATCATGGCATCACTGAAACTAAGTTTGTAAGTCTAATAAAAAATAATAGTGAGCAACACACATACTACATGTACTGTATGTATGTGTTGCTCACTATTATTTTTTATTAGACTTACAAACTTAGTTTCAGTGATGTCATATTGTTCTTTAATTTAGCCGGAATAGCAAGCTGCTTTCGATCATCTGTACACGTGCCATTTAACTTGTGTATTACACAAATCTTTCCACGAAACAGACAGTTTTAAGTGCAAAAGGTGCGAAAGTGCAGAATCACTCCAGCATCCCCTTAAATCAGATATCATTTCATCGGTCGTATTTGAGATATCTCGTAGATGATATATTTCCTGAATATTTTAAGGATATCACATTTCTGATATCTCTTTTAAACAATTAGTGTTTATATTTTTATTTTTAGTATTTGTTTTGTTTTTCTATAATTGTTTCTTATTTCACTTTTCCTCAAAATAAGTTTTCTAAACTCATGTAGTAAAAAAATAGTACAATAAAAATAAAAAGATAAATATTAGTTTACAAGAATAGCTGATTTATTGAGGCCGTGTTCCTTAATAATTTATGCCGGAACTGATAAAGCAAAAGTATATTTTATCTATCACATTGCCTATTCTGTAATGATTTTTTAGAATCTGGAAGACATCTCTCAGATATCCAAGCGATATCTGAATAGTTTTTTTTGTAGCAGATATTGTAATACTTAGATATCTCCCAGATATTTTTGTGATATTTTTTGCTGCGTGGATAGAATCGGAGTCACTTGAATTTGAGGAGTTAGCAGTCTAGGTATAGAAGTCTGTGTTTAAAATACAGTGAAACAAATATCTTTTTTAGTGCTTGCACGAACTGGCAAATGTGGAGAAGCTGATTGAGGAACTTCGGGATTCAACGAAGGGGTTAAACAACGCTATGAAATTAGCGCAAACAAGATTAGATAATAGATTGAGACGGCGCAACGTTGAAAGCTGTCGAGATACACCTCAATTTGCGTAAGTTGAAAGGGGAACGATTGTCCGGCGAGTGATATTGTTGGGGCATGATCAGCAAGAACTTTTTCATTTCACTTAGCCTTGTTGAAGAGGTGAAATCACTTGGCGAGCAGACCTCTGCTATGCTGGCGGAATTAAAACGCGCTGAGGAATCTCAGGCGGAATTAGTCAAGGCAAGAGGCACCCTTGAATATGAAATAATGGTAAAACGGAAGACTTTGTACATAGACAAAGAACGAGGTCAAGTGCTACGTTCTTTCTTCCCTTCTGCTACAGACTTGTCTGGATTTTAATAAATTGGACGTGTAAAAGCTATACTTGAAATATTTAAAATTCAGCATATGAATTATAGAATTCCGCTTCTTATTCGTCTACTTATTATACGTACACTTTATATTTACCAGGTATTTTAGACAGGGTTGTAAACCGGAGCAAAAATACGTTCTTTGGAGCGGTTTTGAACCGGTTCGAGTTTAAAAACCGCC